TTATAGGGTCAGGACACAAAGAAACCCAGGGAGGGTAATTAACGTCCACGGGTTTGGTTAAGTCCTGCTTCCCTCCTTCCCCAAAGGGCAGCATTTAACCCCCAAATGCATCATTTAAATTAAAACCAGCCCAACCCTCTTCATAAGGAATGTATTACTCAGACTTCCCATGGCCCTTTGTGCACGCCTTCATGGGATTAGAATGCATGGCCTGTTGGGGACGCACCCCACCCACCCTCTGCAAAGTAGCATGGATGGGCTATGGGGAACGTTCCCAATATAACCTCCCTGTATGCCCTGCCCAAGGCCATGGGTAACCTATTGGGAATTCACTTCTCAAATGCATCCCTTTTTGTGTAAGTGCTTTTACTTTATCTCTGCAGGGTCAAAGAACCACCCTATAAGCTGCCAGGCTCACCCATGACCTGGAAGGAAACAAAACTACCACCAATAAAGTTTGCATATGATAATAATGAAGAGGACAGGTCACTGACCAAGCAATCTAGATCACTCTGAATCATCTGGGTGCAAGCCAAATCTGGATTTTAATCTGGCTAAATGTAAATGTCTACATCTAGGAACAAAGAATGCAGGCCCTACTTACATGATGGGGAACTCTATCCTGGGAAGCAATGACTCCGATTTGGAGGTTATGGGGAATAAACCACTGCAGGGTGGGGGGATTTCTGCTGAGACCCCAGGTTTCTACAGTCCATCCTAGGCTTCCACCTCACACCCTCCCCTGTGTGAAGTACCAGATCCGATTGCTTCTAACAGTCGGGCTGCAGGTGCCTTTGTTAAGGCCCTTTGGCTGGAAGGAGCGAAGGCCTCCTGGGGGCAGGGCGGGGTAGTGGCCAAACTTTCTTGCTTAGTAGGAATCTGTTACAGGGTCTCTTCACTGCAGCTGTAAGCCCGAGCTCTTACCCGTCATGGCCTTGCACAACTGCAGAGGTGGATTTACCATGAAACAAACAGTGCGGTGGCACAGGGCTCCCAATGACAGGGGGTCCCCCCAAAATGCAGGACAAATCTCATCTGTCAACCTGCCCCCGAGTCCCGGCTGGTGGCGCAGTAGGGCAGGCAGGCTCCCTGCATGCTGTGACTGGTGGCCCCACACCGCTCCTGGAAGCGGCTGGCTGCTGGCACGTCCCTGCATGCTCCGTGCGCCCCCCCCCCCCCCCCACAAGGGGCACACAGAGACATGCCAGCAGCAGCGCAGCAGGACTAAGGCGGCTCGCTGTCCCCCTCTCTCCGCACCTCACTGCTCCCGGAAGCGGCTGGTTTGTCCCTGCAGCCCCGGGGGCTGGTGTCGCCAAGCGTTGCTCCCACCCCAAGCGCCAACTTTGCAGCGCCAATAGGCTGGGAACTGCAGCCAATGGGAGCTGTGGGAGTGCGCACAGAGATCCCCTGCTCCCCCCCCGGAGCCGCTGCCAGAGGGGTGTGCTGGTTGCTTCGGGAGCCGCACTGCCCAACCCCTCCTGCACCCCAACCCCTGCCCCAGCCCAAAGCCTGCACCCAAGCTTTATCCCAGAGCCCAACCCCTGCACCTCCTCCCACACCCCAACCCGCAGCCCAGAGCCTGCACCCCTCACCCCCTCCCCCTGCCCCAATCAAGGTACCTCATTTTATTTTCATTTACTTTCTATTACTTATAATATAGGAGGAGGATGAAAAAAGAATGAAAACAGGGGGAGATGAGAGAATGTTCTTTTTCTTGGTTAGGTCCTGGGGCCCCCCAAAAATGAAGCTGTGCCCAGGGCCCCACTAACTAACTCGCCACTGCACAACAGCCTTTCAGCGCAGGCATGTTGGCTGGGCTGCAGGGCTGGGTCAGAGCCCAGGTTCCACTTCCACACCGGCTGGTAATCTGCCCTCTTTGCAATGAGCCCTCCAGAGCTTTCCCACAATTCCTCTCATGTGCCCAGCAGGACAAACAAGTTCTCCAAGAATCACAGAGCAGCTCAGCTCGCTGCAGCATGGAGATCCATGGGGTGCACCCCCCAAGTCCTAGCGACATACATGGGGGAGCACAGCACCAGTGAGGACTCAGTAACTCAGGTAGGGCTTTGAGCAGGGCTGCTCTGGATCGCTCCTTCGCAGCCATGCCCTCCCTCTACTGTGGCGCTGCACCTCTGCTCTCAGTGGGGATGGATCTGCAGCTAACAACATCCCACAGACTCCCAGTGCTCTTGGTGAACACCGAGCATTCTGGGCTGCCACTGACTCCACTGGGAATAGCCGGCGCTTCAGCATCTCACTGGATTAAACCCCTCGTGCAGAATCACTCTGTTCAGCTGCATTGCTGAGGAGTAATTCTAGCGCTCAGCCAGCGCTTTTGCCTCTTTGGAGAATTGTGCAAACACTAGCTCTGCTCTTGCAAAACTGTAGCCTACAGGTTGGTGTCAAAGGGGTTAAACCCCCAAAACCAGCTTCCTGGCTCACAACTGTACTTTGCATGTTGCAATGAAAAACATTCTTGCAGTCTAATTAGCTAGATAATCCATTTTCACCTCAAATTAATATGGATCAAGTCATTACAAATTTCAATACTGTTGACAAAGATTAGAAAGTTTTAAAAAGGAGCTTTTTTTTTTAACCTCTTTGAGCTGTTTCAGAGTAAAAGGGCCTTGTTTGCAATTCAAATGGTGCCACTGCGCAGCTGGTCTGCTGATCCCTCCTGCAATAGGCTTAATATTCCTGCAGCACAAATTCTACCTCTGTCTTTTTAATGATTTGGGATTGTTCACAGATGCTTTGATGTTTTAATTCTCTCCGTGGCCCTGGAATGCCTGGTCCTTTGCAAGCTGACCGGCAGTCAGTTCAAGGCTTGTCTCTTGTCTGCCTTAGGGCAGTGGGTGTGATCATCAGGGTGGGGGTGGATTGTCCTTCATGGTGGACAAAGATGTTTCAGAATGAGACGTTGGGGCCCTAAAAACAGCTACGAGTCTGGCATCTGGGAGAAACATGTCGGAGCTTTTTCTAAAAGTTTCTTGAATCTCCAGCGTACACATTAGATACCAGAATGAAAGAGTGATAGGTAGGATTTTCAAAGTCACCTAAGCGAATTAGTTCCCAGCTCCTGTTGACTGTCAATAGGGCTTTGTCACTGGGCACCAAACACACAAAGGTGTCAGAACCCCACCCCACCCTTGGGTGATGATCCACTTAGAGCAGAACCCCATCCTGGTTTCTTTGGCATTTTTTCCCCCCCCCCCCCCCCCCGACCTCAGGGCACTCTCCCCCTGGTCTCCCCATCTGTCTCCCAGGCTCCAGTCCCCAACACTTGTAGTGTCCTGCACGGTAGGATACAAGTAACCCTGCTGAAGCTATTGGGAGTTAGTTGTATTCTGCTAGGAGATAATTAGGTACCTTGGTGCGGTATTTCCCGACTGATTCCACCCTCACTCACATCAGTAAGAATCAGGAGTGACGCCAGTGAATTAATGGAACTCCATTAGAAGTGTGAGTGAAAGCCCAATATTTTTGACACTGGTATCGCTATCCTGCCCGTGCAAGCTAGCTAGGGCAGGGTAGCGATACCAGTGTCATCCCCAGCCCTCAAGGACAGCGGGTTAAATGGAATCAGGCTTTAGAGCAGGGGCAGTCTGGTTTTTGTCAAGGTCCAGAGAAACATTTCTCACACCACAATAACCATAAGTAAACAATTAAGATTTTGGGGTCCATTCAAAAGCATCTGGCGGTCTGGATTTGGCTCGGGGGCTGCCGATTGACTACCCCTGCTTTAGAGGATCCCTTGTCACAGGGAGCCTCTTCCCACCCTGGTTGCAGTAGTCTCAGCATGAGGATGCAGATCTGGGGTATGACTCAGCTGGCCAAACACTCAGACAGCTGAGCTAAAAGGGCAGCACAGGAAGGAACAAGCCTAGGTAATCCCCATTATCAGCACCTGTGCAGCTGGAGAGATCAGGTTCCCTGTGGGCTGAACCAAAGGCTGTCAAAACTCCCCCTGCTTCAAAGCAGCCAAGATTGTCTTTATCCCAGCCCAAAGGCATCACACTAGCAGGACCTATAATCTAGGCAGTGCTCAGTGTTGTCCAGACCTGCTCTTAGCTGGCACTAAAACTCCTGAATCCCATCCCATTACAGGCTCCTCCATCACTGTCCCCAGCAGATGTGGGAGGGTCCCAGAATCCAAATGACAAATTAAAACAGCCCCTTAGCCTGGCACCATGAGCAGAGGCCACACGGGTGGGGAAGGAGAGACATGCAGAGTCACATGCCCCTGCAGATTTGCTGCTTGGTTTGTACTGAGCATGCTCAGTAACACTGCTGAAGCCAGCTGCCCTCACTCTGCCCCCCCCCCCCCAAATCCACAAGCATGGGTCCCCTGCCCACGAGCCAGAATCAGCTGGCATGGGACCAGCCACGGGTGTCTAACTGCAATGTAAACATACCCTTAGAAAAGGGTCCCAAATCCAAGCCGAGTCTGAACTAATTTGGGAATGCTCAGATCTGCATTGCTGGGGCCTCTCATTAGTCATGAGAAAAGGTCAGTTTATGTAATAACTTTCCCAGAATTCTTTAACAAAACAGTAAACAAAGAGGAAACTTTAATGCTCCTGGGAACAGCCAAATAACTGCTTAATAAATCTCATTAGAGTTGGTAAGCTGCTTAACAGGATGTGCTATTTTAGCTGAGCTTGGAGTGGGGAGGTGTGGTGGGTAGTATGTGTAGGTGTGTGTTTTCATGTGTGGAGTTGTTTTGGAGTGTGCAAGTATTCACATATTGTGTTGCAGCATTCAAGTGTTGTGTTACAATGATGGATGCGTTACTCTGCGTGTACACACCTGCGTGGCAGTTTGTTTCCATGTGTGGTGTTGTGCTGCAGTTTGAGAGGTTTCATGTTGTGGAGTGTGCAATGGATGTGTGCTTTAGTGTATGTCTGCCTGTGTGAGGACGCACTGCAAAGCACAAACACAGGGGGCAGCATGAGTACAGCAGAGAAGATCTGTACTTACACCAAACCTTTCACCCTTACCTTCTGCGGGGCGTTGATGACTCCAGTGTTATAGCCAAACTGCAGGGAGCCCAGCACTGCTCCTCCCACCGCCAGCATCAAGCGAGCTGTCATCTGCGTCAAGAGAAACAACATGCAATCAGGTTGGGAAATGCTCTTCTCTCCAATGCAGGACTGTGGGGGCAGCCCCCCATCCGGGGCACCCACCTGGCTCCTGACCTGAACCATTCTAGGATCCAGTACTCTAGATCTCAACCAAACAGCAGCTGTGCACGTACAAGACTTGTACACCCGCCCCTGTCCCCTTCCCATCCACAATGAGCCAGGAGAGTTAGGGCTCATCTTTTCCTGGCTCCCAGCGTATCCACTACTGAGCAGAGCAGTCCTCCCCCAGCTTTCTCCCTGCACAGAAAAGTAGCTCCTCGCGGAGAGGCTTGCAGATCGGGGCATGGCGTAGCTCTTCGTGAATTAAAAAATCCAAAGTCCACCCATGCAAGCTCACAAGTTGCAGTGGAGTTGCCCTGATTTACATGAAAAGACAGGTTTGGCCCTTGAGTTCATATCCCATAAAGGTTATCCCTTGTTAGCATTTCATTACTTGTTCCATCAGTGCATTTATCGATTACATCCACCCATTTTCTAAAGCAGAGTGTCGGACCAGATCTTTCAGGGGTTAATATATACGCAACATTAGGAAAAGCAGTTTCCTGGGAAAGATGTGGGGCCTGAATCTCCTCTCACTTAAAAGGATACAGGCCTGAACGAAACAATCCAGGACCCTCAGCACACCTCAGCTGGGAGCCCCAATCACCATACTGAGGCTGTGGTCCCTTCTTGGGGAGGCAGCAGGTTTTAGAGTTAAGATGGCTGGGGCTACTGTTTCAGGCTGTCTGCAGACTCAGGCAGGCATTAGTCATTTATTAATTGCAATCGCACCAAGAGGCCCTGGTGATGGACCAGAATCCCACTGTGCTAGGCGCTGTACTAACAGAAGAGACAGTCCCTGCCCCAAAGAGCTTACAATTATAAGGAAACTAGGGTCAAGTTTTCACACTTTTCTTTCAATCCACAGAGGCTGAATTTTTTTTTTTTTTTAAATGAACGTTGAAATGTTGTGACTCCAGGCACTAGGCCATAGGCACAGGCCTGCCCTGCCCTTTAATCTGGGTGTGCAGGGCAAGGTCTCTATGCAGCTAACCAGTATCACCGGGTTTTTTGTGACAGCCCTTTGTGCAGCTGCGGTGCAACAGATGACCCACATTGTGGATGAATGCCTGATGACTAGGGTTAGCGGTGGCCTACAAGAACTGCATCACGCACTGCAGATGTCATCGCTTGGCTCCACTATGCATATGCTAAATAAATAATAGTGATACTATATTGACCTCCATGGAGTCACTCTGGCTTTAAGCTTGTGTAGGTAAGATAAGAATCAGGTACCGGCGTTCACTAGTTCAAATCTCTGCAGAGCTGAGCACCACAAATCTGTGACCTTGCACCCCATAATGCTTTATAGAAATATGCTTAAGAGTGTATATATGACATAACTGGAATACATTTTATGCTGGATATGCCATGTAGCATCTCTCTGCAAAAGTCATATCTACTGAATGTGTTCATCCTATTTGTATGAATGTATCATTCTTGTATCTGAAACTAGGAATATAAAATATAACTCTGAGGTCCTACTGTAGTTATGCAAAGTGTGGGCCATTAATGGTTGTTTGGAATCTTGATGGCTCCCATTAACCAGGACAATTGGTTATAAATGGCTCTGTTTACTTGTAAGTCTTCCTGTATGTGCTGGCAAGTGGGTAATGAAGTCTTACAGTGACATGTGATCATGTCACCTGAACTGGAATCCATCTTTAACCTGGTGCTTTTCCATTTAGAAGGAAGTGTGGGAACCCAGAGAGGGACAAAGGATTCCCGACTTGTGTCAAAGACACAAGGGGGTGGAACAGAACAAAGGAGGCGGCCATCATGAGAAATCCCCTAGCTACCACCTGAGCTGGAACAAGGACTGTACCAGGGGAAAGGATTGGGCCCAGACTAGAAGGACGCTAGTCTATCAAAGAAGCTTACTGGAACATCTCTGAGGGCAAGATTTACCTACATTTATTTTCTTACTATATTAGGTGTTGACTTGCATGTTTTATTTTATTTTGTTTGGTAATTTACTTTGTTCTGTCTGTTATGACTTGGAACCACTTATATCCTACTTTTTGTATTTAATAAAAATCACTTTTTACTTGGGTTAATTAACCCAGAGTATGTATTAATACCTGGAGGGGGGAAAACAGCTGTTCAAGCTTTATACAGGGTAAAATGCATTTATTTGGGGTTTGAACCCCATTGGGAGCTGGGTATCTGAGTGCTGGAGACAGGTGCATTTCTTAAGCAGTTTTCAGTTAAGCCCGCAGTTTGTGGGGGACATGTTTCAGACCTGAGTCTGTGTTTGTACCAGGCAAGTGTGTCTGGCTCAAATAAGGCAAGGTACTGAAGTCCCAAGCTGCCAGGGAAAACAGGCTCAGAGGTAATCCCAGCACATCAGGTGGCAGTTCCCAAGGGCGTTTGTGACCCAACCCGTCACACCTACTGTTCATGAACTGGGGCTGGGACAAACAGTACATCCATTCCTGGGAGCAGCACCCATCCTCTGGAGTCAAGGTCCTCTCTCCTCCCAGCTGATATGCATCAGAAGGCCCCATAACTTGGGGAGAAGGGTTAAGTAATGCCACCACATCAGGGCTGAAGTTTGAAAGGAAAGCAAAAGCAGGACTGCGCTTGCAGCCTGGTTCAGCCGAGGCAAACCACAATCTGTGTCAGAGTCTAGGTCACAGTTACTCAGCAAAATCCCTGCATTTATGCAACTGCTCAATGCCTACAGCTACTTGGCAAGTACTCTCCCAATGCCTCTCTCCCCTGCCTAAGGTTAGGGTAACAATTGGAGGAAGTGAGGGGTGGTGTGGGTAGGGAGTGTCAGCACAGGCTGGTAATTGGACACCTCCATGAATAGCCCATTTATCCAGGCAGGAAAGTCACCAGTAGCTCAGCCTGGTGGCTGTACCCAGAAAACTGGGATCCACTTTTCACAGTCTGGGCTGATCAGCTTTGGAATAGCCATGTGAAATTAAAGCCCCTTTGATTGCTTCACACCCGCTCTCTGAAGCAATGTTGGTGGAGGCAGAGTTTGCTGAAACAGCAGTGCAGATTTGCCAAGTCTCAGTGTGCCTTTGTTAGAGATCCCAAACCTTTAATCTGGGCCACGTGCATCTGACTGGGGATAGTGGGGCAATGATCCAGCTCCACCCCAACCCCTTTATTGTACAGAGCCAGGACCCAGAGCCTGGTAACATGGGAAGATTCATTCTGAGAGTCACAATTAACTGCAATTACTTCTCTGCTCAGGGAGTACTTGCAGGGGTCAGACCATGACTGAGCCCTGTGCACAAGACACCGGCTCCTCCTCTGTCTTAACCACAGCAACTCTGCGGAACAGCATCTGCCAATCTTGGCTCCCCAGACACTAGCACATGTCCCCTGCCTGCTTACATCACCCCTGCTGTCCTGGAATGATCTCTCTGGGCCCTCCTTGAAACTGCCTTCTTCACTGACCCCTCCACAGATTGATTCAGCAAGCCACACAGCTCAGGTCCCTCATCCTTTCCCCTCTGCAGCCCGCTTCAGGAGCCCTTTCCTGTGCAGCTCTTGGCTTAGCCACCTGCCTGGTCTCTGTCCCCTCTCCTCACAGCTCAGTTGGAAGCAAAGCCTCCTTCCCTGGCCAGGTCCCCTGCATTTCCCTGCCCTCTGTTCGGATAGGGATGTGCTGAACCCACTTTTTAATTACCTGACTTATTACCAGTGGCTGATTTCATTGGGTAGCAAGTATGAGCCTGGATAGCCAATGAGGTTACCATCTCAAGTTACCCAGCAACAGTAAACATGAGGCCTCAATTAAGTCATGAGATCTGCATCCACCAGCAAACAGGAAGGATGGAGCAGGAGAGGCAGCTTATGTGACATGTTTGAATGGCAGCTCAGCATTTCAAGCTTTCCCAGAACCTCCCCCCAAACAGGTAAAAGGCAAGTCTCCCAGTCCTCCCAGAACATCTGGCCCTGCATCTGGAGGGTGCTCTCAGCTGGGATGCAACCGATGGGAAGAGGGGGGTTTGTTCTGTTCCAAGACTCAGGCCCTCCTCTGTCAGACAGCTTCCCCTGGATCTCAAAGGGGCTTAGGACAAAGGAAGGAAACATTGCATGATTGTTGCAGAGCTCCAAGCACCACTTTTTGACACAGGGCCAGTTTCTCCAACTGCATAAAGGAGCCAGGCTCTGGGTGCGAGTGGCCAGCCGAGAATTCCCCTGGCAGTAGGGGTATCAGCTAGTGTAAAGGTATCAGAGCTGGGTTCTGCCCCCATCACTCTGCCCCCAGCCTGGCACAAGGGGCACGTGAAAGAGTAATTCAGTGGGGAGGGACAGGACTGAGTTCCACCCTGCTACCCCAGTCTACAGCGGATATAAGGTCCATATGCTGCTGGCATAAATTAGAGCAGCTCTAACTCGTACAGGAGCCAATGCAGGCTGGCTTTCAAAAATCAAGGAGCAGAAGCTGGCATCAAGAGGACCAGTACAAGCTCTAAGGCACACAAGTCCACAAGATAGACATCCCCAGTGGTGCACAATCTGCACAGGGGTGAATTTCACCCTGTGGCAGTATGAAGGGATGCCAGGCCCTACAGCCGGACACCGTAAGGACCAGAGATACTGGGTACGGTGAGACGTGAATAGCTCTGGGTACAGCTAGTTCTCTCAAGCCCAGCTGATCAGAGCTCCCCGGGAGCCATCGCCTGCAGCCCAAGCTCATCTCCCCAAACACACTGAGGGACCAGGACATGCACCCAAAGGGCTGGGGGGAGGGGATGAAGAGGACACTGAGCCTACATAGGAAGTCAACCTTTGGGGGTTCTGGACAAAGGTCTCACTTGAGTTGGGTCACCAGCAGCCTGCAGCCCTGCACCAGAGACGGACAAGGAAGGGGTGGCGCATGTGAGCACACGCCATTCATGATGCACGGGGCAAGTGTAGAGTGAGATTCAGGCAGAAGCAGAGGT